GAACAACCACGTTGATCAAAATATCAGCCAGCACAAGAATACTACAACAGGCTTAAGAATAACTAACTAATACACAAGATAAAACAATAAAAGCAACATAACTTATCCTAAGCTGAAATCTTGACCCAATATAAGTCTGTTAAAACTTACTCTTTTCTTTAAAATGCCAGGAAGTCAATCTGTATTATCTTTATTGAATATTAGTAGATTAGGTCCTAATTTAAGGGCTTTGACTTAATCTGAAGTATATGTCTATCTACTAGGTGGAATACTAGGAGATGAAAAGCAGCAGCACAATGTACTCCATAATGCCAACATTCACAGATTTAGCTTGACGTTCACTACAGGCTATTTCATATTTTGTGTAGAAATATTAAAATTATTTTCAACATGTGAGTTACTTTTCATGTACTTTTTTCCTAAGCCACACAAATATTTTGCAAAAGACACTGTGATTTGAAAAAGTCACTGATCATTACACATACTTGGACTACATTAAGTTACTTCACTGGTAAAGACAAATTTGCCATTAAACACTTGCCAATTCCATTAATTTCAATAAACAATGTCTGTATCTCATCTCTTTTCCTTAGTCAACTAAGTATGGGCATTTGTATACCACAGTCTTTACTGCAGAAACTCATAAGTAGTTCAAGCCCTGCTGTGGGTTAACACTGTGCCTGTTCAAAGCACCCATCCATTGTGCCCAAGGTCACAGAAGGGGCCTGGGAGGAGGTGCAGATCTTTCTCCTAAAGGCCTTGTTTACACTGGATTCTTTTTTTTATACTGCTCTCCACAGCTATAACATAGCTGCAGCAGCTCAGCTAGTGGCAGTCTTGCATTACACAGGCCACTGGCACTTTAGATAAAAGTTTTTGAATTTGGGCCATGTGCCAAGTCCCATTAGCTTCCAGAAGGCCTGACTTCAGTAAGTGGCTTTGAAAACCCAAATCCTGACACTTGTTGTTTCTTGACCTCTTTAGATCTTTTTTCTTCCATTATTAGTTGTGAGTTCAGGACTACATCTAGAAGAATCATGGTTAAAATGCCTGCAGTACTTCCATCAGGACCATCTTTACTGGAAATGTAATAAATCCATGAGTAAATTTGGAAATTTGATATAGAATTTGGCTGGCTGTACAGTACTGTACTGAGTACAGTAAGAACCTTCTGATGTCTGGACATAAAGTATTAGGATCTATACTTTCATCCAGGAGTCCTGGCTAAAATTAAACTAGAAATTAAACAACCTTGCTGCTGAGCAACAAGTATGATTTGCTCTAACAGAAAAGCAGAAAATAAAAGTTACGTTCTGCTTGGTCTTTCCCACTCTAGAAAAGTAATTCTGTCCATAATGCTTTATAGGCAGATATTTTGAAAAAGTTAATCCTATTGTGATAATTACATACAAAGAAGTGTTCTGTTCAAAAAACCAAGCAAAGATACTTCCTTGAGAGACATTATCAAGAAGAGATACTACCTTGATTTTTATTAAGACCCAGTATTTTGATATTATTTTAGAGCACACATGCCCAAAATTACAATGTTACTCATGTTGATTTTCAGACATGAAAGCCTGAATAAAGTTGTCCCTCTACATTTGCTTAGTGGATACAATACTTGCTATTGAAGGTACTAAAATAAAGTATATAAGTTATGTAGGCTAAACAATCAGAAGGCTGTTAAGTGTACTAAATTCTCACAGTCTAAAAGCATTGTCATTTTATTTGTACCTGGTTTCTAGGTATTGTAAAAGCAACTGCTGCTAATAGTATAATTAGAAAATGGACTGAGGTCTGATTGTGATTAACAGTGAAGAAATCTTTTCCTCCGCACTACCATGTCCAAACTGCCTTTCCGACTGCTGTTATGGAATTAGAGCATAGGAGGAAAGGTGTTTCTCAAACATTCATATAACTAATGTCCATAAAACAAGCTCAACAATTTATGATGCTCTTTTTGAGCAGAAGTTCATTCAGGAAATCCCCATTTGTTAGGGTGTAGCTTCCTCCAGTTGATGAGATTGAGCTGCATATTTTAATCAAGAGTTGATTAACATTTTTTTTGCCCATCTTCCAATAAAGGCTCAGTAATAGGTTCTGCCCAAGGACTCCATGCTCTATTGTTTCCAGTGGAGACAGATGAAGCTATATTCTCTGTGGACAGCCTAATTTCCCAAGAACACATCAGCTGATCACCTGCTAACACTCTTCTGTAGCAGAGACATTTCTTTTTGTACTACTTGTAATTTTTTATTTAGCATATCTGAAATAGTACAATTAAAACCAGACGTAATCACATTGTTTAATATGCCAAAGGAGTGTGAGCTCTTGCAGGCATGACTTTGGGCATTGAGCTTCGTGACCAAACAAGGAATGCAAGCAAATAACATTTGAACATGGGTTGAAAATAATCAGCTTCACTGGAAAGTAATTCTCAGTGTGTGCAAAAATCAAGTCACCTCTGTATGCACAGAGTACACAGTATCTCACATTATCGCTTGCTTCCACCTCCTGATTAACTGAAAACCAGAAGATGGGACTAAACATTATTTCTGAAGGTACATTTATCACAGCAGCTCTTCATTTCCTGCCCACTCAACTCAGATCTTGTTTAAACCCCCCAAAATTATCTGTTCATATAACTGGCAGGTTATATTTTACCTTTTGCATTACCTAGAAGAGATACAGCAATCAAGACAGTTGCAAGGAAGCAACCGTACAGCTGACCCCCTATTTCTCCAGTAAGGATGACATAAAAGCTGTATGTAGGAAACAAGATTACATGGGATGACCAGTAGATGACAGCATATACTTAACACTAAATTGCTTCCAGTCTTAAATCCCTTAGTTTTTATTAAGCTGAATGAATACACTGTGCAACTCATTAGATACACCTGACAGCAACACAAAAACCTGCTCAAAAATAAAGCCAATATATAATGCCAATAAAAAGTATTCTAATTTACCAAATGATTTTAAACTGAAGAAAGAGTGGCCCATCTCATATACAATGTTTAGATTAGTGGAGATTAGTGGAGTTTTAGCCAAGTACACCAAATACACATCAGTTTTCTGTCTACAGAACAGTTTCATTCCCTTTTTTGTTTCAGTTGGTCTCCGCCCCTGGGAAACAGCATTTTCAAAAAGGTTTACTGTAAGATCATTAACAGTTCACATGCTTTAAGCAGAAGTTTTGGTTTTTTTCCTCTTTTTTCTTTAAAATCTCTCATTACACTTAGTCCACTTGACTGATTGCTGCCACTGAAGCATCACTAGCCTTACTTGCTCGCTCCTAAGATCTGCCTTCCCACCCCCCATTACTGATTTGTTTGGTTCTGCATCCCAGTCTTTTCACTCTGGTGCATCCAATTTAGAGAAATCATCACTCTTCCTCTTTTCATTAAACATGCTCAGAACACTTGGTATAAAATAAATAAAAATACTGACTAGTTCAGAAAATATGTATTTTTGAAAGGAGGTTTGAAGCCAAAGCACTAATTAGCCAACACAGATGCAGGAAGTTAGATTTTGATGATGCAGTCAGATGTAAAGGATGATAATACACAGTCAAAGAGAGGAAAATGATACATTATACCCTCAAGAAAGGGATTTGATTTGTTTGCCTTTTAAAGTCAAGTGCTTAAGCCGAATGAGATGAAATCCAGTTTTAATGCATGGAGAGGAACATCTGTGGTGCGGATGGTCCAGAATACACAACATATGGAGTGATCAGACAAAAGCCCATTTCAACTTCAGAGGAAAAAAATGCAACTATAGGTCCTAGAGAAAATCCACAAAAAGGGAGGGTCAGTGGTAACTAGCAAACACTGATGTTTCAGATGTAGCTGTAAGCAATACACCTGTGTAACAGCTGGTATCTTGGCCCATCCCTGGCTGAAGCAGACACTTTTCCTTTTAATACCAAAAGCAGATTCATTTCCTCTGTGGCGCAGTGAAGGAGAAAGACAACTCATACAGAACAGAACTGTAAAGTCACTCTTAATGTGTACAATCCAGTCATTTGGTGCACAAGATCTTTTTGCTGATAATGCTTTGTGCACCTATCTAGAAAGCTCTTGAGGCTACATAATGACATGAACATCAACATTAGGAGATTAGGACACTATGCTGCTATTAGTCTGAAGAGTCACCAGACAGTGCTCTCAATCTTCTCACTTGCCCTTTTTACTCTTATTCCAGGAATTTATGCACTAAGTAGTGTGATACTCAAAGCCCTTCTGTACTAACTTTATCTTTTGCAAATATTTGACAAAATCATCCTGTTCTAGATTTTTTGAGGACTTGAGCTGTAGAGACAGGGGAAAGCAAATACCTACTTCAGTCTCTCTTTGGGGAACGAACTAAAATAGTATGTCTGGGGCCAAGGGCTTTGTCTCCTACCCTGATGGACTTTGACACTGCAAATTTCAGTGACAGCAGGCATTTGATAGCATCTATCACTATATAAGCTGATAAAGTTCAAACTAATCTCATTTTAAAAAGTTACTTAGGGTGCTGCTAAAGTTCCATACTTTCCGACTCAGAGTGAAAAATGTATGCATAGTTCTTTCCTACTGATAGGAGCTTTTATCACTAATAGAAATCACATATTAGAAAACTAGAACCCTTTAAAGAGAATTACATTTGTTTACTCAACCACCCAGCTGGTTTGGTAGAAAAGTATTTCATGAAATTCTCAATTATTGTTCAATATTAGGAAGTTATTTCTGAAAACACTCTTGAAGGTATTTTAGAAGGAGAAAAAGTGATAGGCAACATGATAGAAGACAGAATTTTTCTTATCTTTCCCAAAATCGTCTCATGCTGAAGATTAGAGATCAAGTATTCTACACTGGTTTTAGGCAGGAAGTTCATACAGGTGTTGATGACTAATGCAAATTCTGGTTTCTTGCATACAATATTTAAGCAGGGGAGAGGGACAGATCTCCAAAAGTTGCAAAGTACATAAAGAGCATTTTGGTCAGATAAACTCTTACCTTCCCATAGAAGCATGAAGACCTTTCAATTATCTTGTTCTTCTAGGAGTGCTTCTATGAGAAAAAAGTTACAAGTTAATATTCTTTTGTTTCTAAAGTGATAAACTAGCAAACTTAGTTGTCAGATCAGAGAAAATAAATCATTCATTTTCCACTTTTTTTGGGGAAGATTCTTTGGTTTCAGAAGAAAAGCCAAGGAAGTATCCCAGCTGACATAAAAGAACCTTTCAGAGCCTTGAGAACTCTTCTAAGGCACACCAGTGCCATTACATCTATTTTCTAGAAAATATTTTTCTTGAAAAAGTGATAGGCACTTTTGTGATTTTAACAATTGGTGTAAATTCAGGATTTGTAAGCATTGCCCCTCATGTATTCTGTTCAAGGCTGCACAGTAGATCAGTATCAGCCACAACTAGGAATCTGGATTTCCGATTTCTCTATTTGTGACACTTTCACTAGATTATAATTTTTCCCTTGAGAAAAACTCACAAATGTTATTTACTCAGCTACTATTGGATACCAAGCTGACAAATATTTTATTTAGTAGATAGCTACAAGCTGCTAATGTTCCTTGTAGAATTGTACAAAACACTTGGGATTAAGTGGCAGAGGCACCTTAAATCAGGGCTAAAGGACTGCCATAAGCATAAAAAGCCTCACTGTCAATGATATTTACAGTTGCCATTTCCCACCAATAACTATGGCAATGTGCTTGTGGAAGTATCCTGCATTCCAGCTTCTTCTCAGACTCATTTTAATGCTGTTCCAATTCATGAATATACAACTGTAGATACAGCAAAATAAATCTGTGCAAGCCACATGAGACCTTCTTGAGGTATATGTAATAATGCATGCAGATCTTTCCCTGTTCAAATGACAAAGCAGCACTTTAGGCAGCTCTCACATGAAGTTTTTTTTTAAAAGCTCTGAATACAGAATCAGGCTTTGAATTCACATAGGCAATGCTGTATTGGCTAGAATGGAAAATAAGATTTGTGCATGTCAAAAGCCAGAATAACTGCATGAGAAATAACGGCAGACGCAGAAGAGTTCTTAAAGACAGGAAAGAAGCTCTCTTACTAAAGAGATCCAAATTAATACAACACCACATCTGTATAACTGAAAATACTACCAGATAAAACAACATGTGCTCAGTCTAAAGGCAGTAAGACATTAAAGTTCCTATAACATTTTAATCAGAAAAATCAAATACAAGAATTAAACAGACATGACTTAGGCAATTATTTTAAGTTTTAAAAATTAATTAGTTTTGCATTCATTCATACTTGAACTTGTACATTAATACCAAATAGAGTTTTCCAATAAGTCCATGAGAACATACTCTGCATACTTAAAAGCAGATAAGAGTTAACTACTTATGAGATATAAGCAGAAATAAATAGCATCATGACAATTTAATTTCTTATCTACCGCCAGGACCACCACAGTAAACTGGAGGAAAGCATCAAAATTACACCTGTTGGCAAGGATGCATAAAGAGCCATTACAGGCACAGGACTGACAGCATAGGAAACTCCAGTTACTACTCTTCATACTTCTGACATTTGTGCATTAGAAGTAGGAAGCATAAAGAGCAAGGCTACAACTGAACACCTTTGCTACACTGTTTCATCTGCTCATCACAGGCATCATCCCCAAAGACCCTCATATTTGGATGATCCTTAGATATGACATTAAAAGCCTATTTGGCTCTGACATCTCAAACACTGGATCCTTGTAGAAGGAGCCTGCAAGCAGAAATTTGACAGATGCTCTTCGAAGTGAAATGAGTTTCTGTAAGTCCGTTAAATCCTAAGGAAATAAGCTTTTGGTTCACCAGTGTTTTGAACTTGTGTAACCATTAGTTATACCTACAGAAATCCAATATAATGGTAGCATTTGCCTCCAACACATACAGTACAGATGTCTACAAAGCCTTTAGTACTATTGTGAGAAGACTTATCTTTTCACTTAAAAACTGCTTATTAGATATTAAAAGATACAAGTACACACAAAGCAGAATGATGAATTGTAAGTTTTATAGATTCTACTCTGCAGGATATAGTCAATAGCAAAAATGTCATTATTTACTGATAACAAAAAGTTACATATAGTTATCACAGATAAGCCAACAACTTGTCTTCATCTGGAATGGCCTATTTGCAAATTGGGCCATAAAAAAAAAACTATTTCTGACAACCAGCTTAAATTTCTTTTAAAAAATTCCCTCAATGATGCTAAAAAACGACTCATGATTCATCTTGTGTGTTATGCAAGGAGGTACCACTGCTCATGTTTCATAGCTGAATGATGAGCCTTGTATCTCTATGCCAACTCTAGCAGGAAGCCTTCTGTGCCTTGTGCTGGTCTGTATCACAGAGCAGCTTCAGCACTTTTCCATTTATGTCCACATATAGCACATTAAAATTATAGTTATCACTTTCAAACGTTCCTCTTCTACTGGTGACAGTACTACCAGTTATTCAAGTCAGCATGCAGCAACTCCTTTACTGCATAGCACAGGGCAAGCCATTTTACTTTTGAGTGCCCTTCCTGCAACCCCACAGTGAGGATTAACTAATATTTCCAGACTGTTCCTGGAAACTTAAGTGAATTTCTAATAAAGATTTGTTACCTCCTGCATCTACAAGAGCAACCATGCATGAAAGTCTGAGGGTATTTCTGAAAAAGCTCCAAAAAAAACTGCTGGAAAGGAAACATTCCATTCCAAAACCAAATCCATGCATAGCTCATGTGCTGATGACTATAATTACTTATTCACTTTGAAATATACTGTTATGATAGTTAAGACTTACTAACTTGTGGAAAGTACCTGAAAGAAACTGCAAAGCTATTTTAGGACATGAAGCACAAAACATTTAGTGTTCATGTATTTTTTTTTAGAGCCCTTTGTATGTCAAAAATTATTTCCTCAAACAAAGGAAAGATTGTTCTTGGAAGACATACCAAGGAAAAGAAAAATACATGTTGTCAGACTTGAAGTTAAACCCCAAATAGCAAAGTAAGCTTAAAATGTTTGGTCTTGTTATTTATTTGGTAGAAATTAGAACTCTGAACTCACCTGCAGACTCTTACCACTGTCTTTTAGGTGTAGAGAAGACAATATAAGAATAGTTGATTTTGCTTTTAAAAATAATGTTAATTCTATTCTGTGCACATCTTACGGTACTAAGCATATAGAAATAACAAGTAGAGATGTTGCCTTCATTCATCCTACACTAAGCAAAAGACTTCAAAACAAAGAGGTCAGTTAAACATCAGGTCCTCTGTTGGTTGGGATCAGATCTATTTTTTTCCTAAACAAGCTTTAAAATTAAGATGTACAATGATAATCAGTTTTCAAAATTTCATTGACAGAAATTCAAGTCTAAGAAGCTAGGCCTATTTCTTAAAACCTTTGGGTCAATAAGTAAAAATCACTTTTCTTCCCAGTTCAACACAACCTGTTTTACAGCTGCTGTTTGTCAGCTCAAGAACACTTTTATGTACCTGAAAGCAATATGAAAGTACTTGATGCATTTTAGAGAATGCATTATTGACATTCTCATATATTATAAGCTGAGGGAGAAATGCATATTGATACTAGTAAAGTTGTTCCAAAAAACAAATAAGAAAACATTTAAGATTTTATTAGATACTTTATGGATGTTGGATTACCCAACTTCAGCAGTGACATAAGGAGAGCACTTCCAAGCTTTGGTATTTTGTGCATTTCATTTAATGTAAATACACATTTTACCAGACAAAACATCTCAGCTGCTTTAGCAATGGCGCCCCACTGCCAAAAACTCTCCCTGTGATATCTTGAGCCCAACAAGACCAACAGCAAGTTTTATTTCAATTTCGATATGGGTGGATTTTATTTTTGTTAAGATACTAGTCATTTAACTACTACCATATGGAAACATCAAACTTCATAAAGTACAACAAATGTACTGTATGATTTATTCCCCAAAGAGAACTCAGCGTTAACAACATTAAAACTTCTTTCCAATCACCACTGGTACTGCTTTTCTTTTTCTTTTTTTTTTTTTTTTTGAAAAGTCAGGATTAAACAGCAATTACTTAGAAAGCAGCATTACACTAAATTTGCTCATTTGCAGTACTGACAAGCGGTACAATAACTAGATATAGTTACTAGGTGTAAAAACCTTATTAAAGAGAAATAAGGATTAATTAGGGTTGCAACTCTAGAATCAGAAGGCCAGCTTCCTAAGGTTGCTTCATGGCTTTTTTTTTTGACCTGCAGATTGTTACTGTAATAAAATGCCCTCAGCAAGTTAGCTCAATGGGGAATCTTTTATCACTCACATACACTATGTGACTAAATAACATGATTCCAAGTCAGGTTGAAATTATTTATGTATTAGAAGGCCTTAAGTTTTGAGTTCAGACCTTTCAGTGGAGTGAGTGGGCAAGCTATCTGGCTAGGGTTAAACCACGACAAACACACAGCAACTGTCTGCCATGCCAGCAGTCTGAACCCAAACACATAGGCTTGTTGAAGTTTCTTATTTCTATTGTACTTGACCATATTGTAGTAAGCCCCAATCTTAAGTATTATCTGTTAAGAGATTTCTCAGAGTAGTAGCTATGTACTTTTGAAGAAAAAGAAGCAACTTTAAAGTTTCAGGCTCTTTTGACATCACCCACTCCAGTAAATCCTTCTTTTCTGTGATATTTACATCACATCCCAGGAAAAATAAATCTGAAAGCATTATCAGTTAACTATCTAGACTCAGGAAAAAAGCCTTGGGATACCAAAAAAACCCCAACCAACAATGAAAATTCTATTGGAATGTCAAAGGAAGAGCACAAAAAAGACAGTTTCCCCTTTTATTTGAAAACTCTTTTGGGAAAAAAGAAATTTTAATAAGTGCCATAAATTGTGATTACCAACAGGCCAGAACACTGTTTTAAAAAGACAAAGCAGCTTAAACATGATAGGAACACAATTCAAATGCAGCGTTCACTGTTGCAGCATAAGACAGGTCATTTTAGACCAACAGGCACTATGTTGGCCCTGCTGGACTAGCTTCATCATGAACCAGAAATGAAGCTAGTTCCATTTCTCCTGGTCATGTTACAGGTAAAAACATGCAAAGAAATATCCCGCCTCCTGTGTACTCAGCAGAGGTAGAGATGACTGTTACCTGAGGAAGAAAAATCAGTCTCAAAGCCTGCTGTCCTGACTTACCTCAAGCACTATGGCCTCTGTTTCCACAAAGAGAATTCTTATGTATTGAAATAGGAAGGATACAAGTGCTTGAAGTCACAACCTGGAGGAACACCACAAGGTGCCCAGACAACTAGAAGAATCTCCCTCCCGCAGAAGGAGCAACATGCTACCCGGCTAGAGCAAGCTGCTCACAGCAGACAGCAAAGTCAACTTCTCACCTCAAACGAGCCACCATTATCACCTCAGCGACCGGACAGCGCCTTCCCGCCTTCGCCTCGCGCCCCTGCTTCTTCCCGCCCAGCACCAAAACTCGCGCAGTCGCGCGCAGCCCTTCCCTCTCGTGTGCCGAGCCCTGATTGGCTGCCGGCTGCCGGCTGCCCGCTCTTTAGCCCGAGGCGGCAGCGGCCGTTGCTTGTTCCCGTTGGTGACTCGCGTTTTCAGTCCTCAGAGGCTTCTCTTGGTGGTAGAGGTGGGTGAGGGTGGTGCTGTGGAGCTCAGGGGGCGCCTGGAGAGTGAGGAGCTGCTGCAGGAAATCAGGTGAATTTCTTTGTGGCAGTCTCTCTTCGTAGGTGGTGTTTGTTGATCTGTGCTGTGCTGCAGTTCTGAGGAGAGGGAGAAGCTGAGGGGGGCTGTGCTGTGCTGTGCTGTGAGGTAAATTCGGGACCTAGAGGGGGGTGCTAGAATTAAAGTAAGAGTAAGCGTTATGGAGAAGGAAAAACAGACCAGTCTACAGAAACAAGATGGCAGCTGTGCTCCTTCTGCCTGTGTTAAGCTTTGTTTATCTTGGGGTTGGAACTAGCAGTGGGTTTTGTTTGGTACAGGGACACCTTCCCCTAGAGCAGGTTGCTCTAAGCCTTATCCAACCTGGCCTTGAGCACTGCTAGGAACAGGGCAGCCACAGTTTATCTGGGCAACCTGTGCTAGGGCCTCACCACTCTCTCAGTAGAGCATTTCTTCCTAATAATTTAAATCTACCTTCTTTCACTTGAAAACCATTACCCCTTATCCTATCCATGGCCTCATTTTCTGGAAGACTGCTTACCTTTTCTGTTCAGCCACAGTTATGCTAATCCCTAGAAATGCATGATACATACTTCTGATAGTAAAAACTTACTCAAACCTGTTTTTCAATCAGCATGCTATATTTAGCAATGTAATTGCTGACTGAGGTAAACCTAGCATCGTATAGAAAAGGATCAGAGCATAAGTTCTTTAAGAGTAGCAAACTTTTCACACATCTTTAAACGGAACTATTTAACTTAAAATGGTCTATTTTGCTGATAATTTTTCTTGGAAAAAAATCCAAACACAAGCATTTGAGAAGGAACAAATCCTTTACTGTATCTGTATTGTTGACCCTGTTTTGTTTTGTGGCTTAGATTTGAAATGTTTTTCTTTTATTTCAGAAAGTCACTGCACTGGAATAGACTTCTGAGACATAAAGGTAATAGCTTCAAATCTGCTGAAACTCCTAAGTGTTTGTTACATGCTCTTAGTTACCCATAACTGAATATGCAGTTAAGATTTACTTAATTTGTCTGAAAGTATTTCAGTTCATTGGCTTTTTAAAATCTCCTGGGTTCATCATTACATTAGGTGCATAATTTCCCTCATCCCTTTATTTTCCAGTTAATGCTCAAGACATGAACAAAGTGCACCTTAGGTTTACTTGCATGTATTTATGTCCCAGTGAAAATCCTCATGTTGAAAGCATTTGGGTTAATTTTACTCTTTAAATTTAGCAACAATATTTATATGAGTAAATATTTTCACAATTACTGTTGTCCCAGAAAAGAAATGAAATTTGAAGCCTAATATATTTTTTTCTGTGAAATTTAATAGGAGAGCACTGCTTTTTCATTCTTTTGTTTAAAAAAAATGGGTAAAATGCTGAGATTTGTTAAAGGGGGTCTGTCAAGACTTAGTTTATAAGTTGATAATATGCAATATAAAAATAAATAACATCAATATTTTATGTTGGTAACCATGGTTTTCTGTCAGACCAAAGCCTCTATAAATTTTACTACAGTTCTGCATTCAGATTGGGCAAAGAAATAGCATTATTTTTTGACAAATGTACACCTTCAGCCTGGTTCATGTTTATGTCCACATGAAGTTTAACTGAGATGTTATTCTTTGCATACCTGCAGGGATATATGTTTGAAAGCATTGGTGTTAAAGTCTGTAGAGTTCAAGCTTATTTTTTTTAACATAGTTGATGTAGATTATGCCATAATTTGTTCAAGTGATGCAGATGTGACGTATGGAATTTACTCTTATTACAGTTAAAGTAGCATCAGTGTGCCTTTTTACCTTGCAGTAATGGGTGCTTCCTAGGCTTTTGTTACTTCACCATCATGAAAAGGGCGCTATCTACTTTCTACAGCTTTTTAGCTGAAGTGCCTTTTTTTTGTGTTAAATCAAATGAAAAGTATTCAATACAAAACTGTTGTTGCTGTTTTGTTACCTGAAGCATTTACATAAAAAAAAAATAAATCACTGAAATATCCCATAAGATTTCCCTCCATTATCAGCTTGACAGCTGCATAGTGTTTGGTTTAGATTAGTGGCTCATGATGGCTGCTGATAAAACTTTTGCTTTCCCCAAAACCTGTATCTCAAATAGTACTTTTGTGGGAAGATGGTGATTGTTTTGAAGGTGAATTGGGTTACTTTCTATTTTTTTATTTATTTATTTTAGTTTTTTACAAAACATGGCTTTATTGGTTTTCTAGTAATTTAATATGCTCAGTTGAAGTTGAGAGGAGCTACCTGGGAATTCTGCAGCCAAGAACTCATGTTTCAAAGGCAAAATATTTAAACTGAGCTAAATAAATTTTGCAAAACCAGGGTGTATTTATTCCTTGGCGAGGTCATTTCTTGAAGTCTTTACTTTGAACAAATGGTTATGATACCCATTTCTCACTTTGATTGCTCCTAGGGAACTGCCCTAAGGCCTACAGGAGTTATTTTCCCCCAGCATTTGGGACTGCTTTTTAATTAACTGTGCTCTGCTTCTATTTGACTTCACTTTAGACTTCCCTAAACATATTCCATTATATCCCTTGTGTTTTTGGCAAAATCGTATGCTACCTTCTTTGGGTTTAATTGAGATGAGAAGCAACAACAGGCCAAGCAACTGGACATAACAGACCTAATCATAAATATGAATTATTCGCTCTTATAGTTCAATAAAACAGAAGTATTCCCAGTTCTTCCATTTGCTGTATTTTCATTTAAAATAATACAATTGAAACAAATGTGTAGATGCAGTTAGCTAGGAAGGTGATTATGAAAAAAGCTGTATCACAAAATCTTGATTGATACAGTATCTTAAAAAACTACTTTGTACTACAGTGATTTTGGCCTGAGATGATTGTGGGATTTGGGGAAGGGCACCCTCAAATCCAGTTATAATAAACTGCATTAGAAGTGTTTGAGCTGTAGTTTGACTGTTACACAGTCCTCTATGCAAAACCTAGAGCTTTCTGCATTATTTCCTCAGAAGCTAGCTCTGTGCTGACACATCTGTGTTGCTTCCAGAGCTGAGCTAATCCTGGTCAAGTCTGAGCTAGGTCAGTCTTTGTACAAGCAAGATGAAGAAGGTGGAAGATAATACAGAAAGGTAGCTAGAAAAATTGACTTTGAAAAGACCTTTTTCTAGAAAAAGTTTTTTAGATACTAAGTTTTCACAAGCTTCTCTGCTGTACTGATTGTAATTGCTTCGTACAATTCATATATTGATTTACAAATATGAGGGTCCTGCTTATAACGCATCTATGAACTCCTTAGAGATTGATTCACTTATCTAAACAATAAAGAGATTAAAATACTGCTTCATTTCTTACCTAAATTTTGCATACTTTCAGCAAGCATGAATTAAAAAAAAATATTTAAATAGCACTAACTCTAGCAACTCTAGTCTCAGTGTGCTGTTTTATCTTCATGAGCCACCCTATGCATAGTCTCTGACCTGTCACCTGGAGAAAAAGACCTGTTGCTCACTTTTTAAGGAAAAAAACTAGTCTTCACAAGGGCCATAACTTTTGCCTGTACTGTTCTTCAAACTGCTGCTGTTTCGGGTATATGATGTACCACAGTCCGGCACCCTAGTTGTTATTTTCCGATTATCCACATCCTACATGCATCTGTTAACTTGATGCAATGCTAAAGCTTGGATTTTAGGAGCAGACCTTTCCATTTTCAGTTGAAGAATACTGATTTTTACATGTAATTCTCTCAGCTTGCTTCAGATTTCCAGAGATACCTGTCGCCTACTGTAATGCAGAAATCGAAATAGCAGAAGGCTGGAAAGAGATATGAATCTTCTTGTAAACTGTGAGTTACAAATAATAAAGTTGTGCTTAACGCATACTGAATGTAATATGTACTTGAAATGAAAACAAGGTATTTGGATTATGATAGTAAATCTGCACTTAGAAGAGGGAATAACTACAGTATCTGACATTTTTGTATGTTATGTATCAGAAAAGACTTTAATAATGTCAGTTGCAGATAAAATTCTTAGATCTTTCCCCAGAGAATATACACAGGGAACAAAACACTTGCTAGGGTTACTGTGAGTTATTCAGCCTTGCTGAAATACTCTTAAATTATAGAAAACTCAACTGAACTGGTATCTCTCTTGTAAAAAGATAATAATTATTAGCCAACAAATTTCCAGTAGCGTTTCACAATATATTCTCCTTTTAAATATTGGTAATAAGTGTTCAGTGGGAAAATGGATATGAACTAAAGCAAAGGAAATGTTAGATCATCTAATGAAATTGATGTCAGAGTGAACCAACATGATGAGGGATTATATTTAAAGGCGTGGAAAGTGTTTGAATCTGTATTGGGTAAAATGGTTGTCTTTTTCTGATTCGGTGTAGCACTGAATAAGAAGCCTTTATGCACCATTTCCTGAGCAAAGAGGTAGATTGAAAACTGAGTTCAAGGAAGACGTTCAATCCAGATATACGGGCAAAAGGCAGAAAATGTGCTTTGGATATCCAAATCCTGCTTTAGGAAAACCTGTCTTCATGGTAGAAGATGCTAGTGTGCCCATAGTATCCACTAATTTTTCCAGTCCTCAGGTATACTGCCTTATAGAGATTTCAAAAGCTAAACAGGTATAAAAGCCATATAGGATATATTTCATCAACTGTAAAGTTATGCAAAGCTGCTGAGTGTGCTTAGGTTGAAGCAGAGGGTAATCCTGTCCTATGGGATTATTCAGTCTTTTAATCTAAACACAGTTAGTACTTTCCCACATTGGTTCTGAGACTAGCAAATATTTAATACATTTGTA